TGTTTGTCCAATCAAGGCCAGGGAAAAGCTATTTTCAGGGCTTGTGTTGAAATAAAAACAGTTGTTTTGCTTTTGCATTAGCTATCCAGAGATACAAGAAGAGAAAATGTAGAAAGTTTATCTGTTAAGCACACGTCTAATTTATTATCTGCCATCAGAACATGTGGAGGGGAAGTGGTCTGTAGTGCTTACAACAAAGCAGGACTTTTCCATAAACATTCCACTCTTAAGCTTGCTGTTGCACAAGGTACTATCTGTCTCCTTTGTATTTGGGAAAGCTACTGTTCATGAAGGCTGCTCATGTTAGGCCAAATAGCTTTATTAATGATAACCTCTTCCCTTTGATTTCTCACTGCTTTGGGTCATAAACACTAATCCTCCCAGGCACTTGCAAGTGACTTTCCAGGCAACCGTATTAATGCAGCAAACCCAAGGGTTAGGCTTGCTTTTGAGGGGGACATACCAAAGGGACTCCTGAGAACTAATGGTACTATTAGATATAACAGATGTGCTGCTGACACGTGAAAATCAAACTGAGAATGAGGTTTAAGTGAGAAGAAACATGTTATTGATGCAAACTCTCTCTCTTTTCGTGTTATGATTCTACCCCGATATCCTAGCCCCTTCCTTTAGTAAGCTTAATCAGTTCTCCCAGCACCGATTTTCAGTGCACTGCAGATTATAGTCACCTGGGCAAACTCTTCTTGCTGAGGGAGAGGCTGTCTGGGCCCAAGAGAGGTGAATTATCTATGGCTTGCAGTTCTGGGTGTGAATTTGGCAGTCTCTGAAGGAGTGATGTAGCAGAGGGTAAGAGCTGAATGCTGGGTTGAGAAAAAGTAGCTACAAATAGAAGCAGAAGGCTGGAAGAAGCAGGGCTAGTGGATACTGCAGAAGTCAGTTCAAGCTTACCAAACCTTGTCAGCACCTTCCTGTTTGTACATTTAAGTTATCTGGCAATTCAAAGGCATGCTTTAATGTGTGGGATTTGGTTTTGCATCTTTCTTGATAGCTTTATCCTTAAATAAAACTGCAAAATACTTTCCTATACTTTGAGTTGATTTCACAATACCTAAAGATATACAAAGTAATTTGCCTTGAGAAAAATCAGAAAGATATTCTTATATCACCTTTGCTGGACAGAAACAGTAGAAGAATTTTTACTGTGCTTCTGCAATGATTGTGCAAAGTTACGGCAGTTCCATGGAAGAATGAATATGATCTGTGTGGACTCTATCATCATCTCCTCTGTAGCCTAGGCAGCAACAGCACGTCTTCAAGTGACATATCTGTATCTTTCTGTGATCACACTTCAAAATGAGATTTTTTTTCTTTTTTCCATTATAAAAAGGTCTTGATTCATGCTTATGAATTATTAAGTATTGAAAACAATGCATGTAGTCTACCAAGAATAAAAGGCAGAATAGATATGCAGGATAAAATGTATGGCTTACTTCATACATATCACATAATATTGGTGTTAGAAGTATACTGTTTAATTAATTGTAATTAATCATAATTAATCCAGCTTCTTAATAACCATCTGCCTTGTGATAAAGAATGAATTACAGTAGGGGTCATTGAAAAAGGTTACAATGGGATTTCTAAAAACAGATTGGTTATTCCAAAGTTATTCTTTGATACAGTTTACCTGTGTGTTATTACATTTTGAGCATACAAACAAGCAAGTAAGAGTCTTTGCGATGCTTTTAAACTTAAATATTCTTAAGAGTGAAATAATGTAAAGATGAAGTCAAGACTGGATGAAGTCCTAGAAAATGCTTGTTCTTCATTTGCATCAATTGGAATTAATTTAAGGTGTATAGGTTTCCGTGTACATTAACCTCGTCTTGGGTTTTCTGTCATTTGGAGGTCACAGTGTTGCTGTTTCACTACTGAGTTAAATGACTGCTGGGGAGACAGATGTTCCTGGGAGGAGAAACAGAAGTTTGTCTCTGTTGTTAATTGCAGTGTAGTTCTTTGAAGCCTGCTGAGCCAGTACCTAATTAAACTGCACACACACACTGAACAATCGAAAAAGAAATGCTGCTCCTTTCAGATAACATTTAAGGTGACAATTTCTTCTCAAGTGAGATCTTCTTGGGGAAATCAATTTACTGCTGATGCAGAAACTCTTTCGATAATACTTCATTATGTGAAGGCATTACTGTAGCCCATGTACAGTATAGGAGAACGTGTGCCATTTGGAGATCTTGACTGTATCTAGTCACAGTCATGGGAAAAGTGAAGTTTCAGTTGTGTTTCTTTAATTTGAAGCCAGAGATATTTTCCTTGTCTGCAATAACATTATTCTGATGGTGATGTCCAATTGTGCTATACATTGAGCAGAAGCCCCTCATGAAATGTTTGGAGGCTGTAGACTACTGATGAGTTTTGTGATTGAAAATTCCTCAAATGTTGCTGCTTGACTTCTTTAATAACATCAGGCTGTATTCATTTGTTTTGGTTTTGCCTTAAGCCACAGATTTTGTGTCTTGGCTTTCTCACAACAGAGCCTACCAGGAGCACTGATGTTCCAAGTTCAAGTTCATACCTTTAAACATGCATTAAAGTAACTAAAATATGAGTTGAGGAAAAGAGAAGGCAAGACAAGCTGTGCAGTTTTTAACGACCAGTGCTAGACACTATTTTCTAAAGGTTTCTAGTACCCTAATAAGGTTAGTCATCTTTTCTGCACAACTGAAGCATGTGTGAGTTTCACTGTGTATGGTAGGAAGCCTAGGTCACAAATAGCCCTCAGTGTCTCACAAGAATGTTCCATGATGCTTTTATCATCCATAGAGATATATCTTTCTATGGATGTGCAGTTCCACTAACATAAGCAGAGCTCCTCATAGACAGAGAGGACCTGTGCACCCAGCTCTAGCCGCTTTGCAACATTAAAGCCCTAAAACCAGAGCAAGTAGGAAGCAGCTCAACTGGCAGAGAAAAAGAAAAGGGGGGAAAAAAAGGACAGTTAAATATTTGAAATAAAATGTATATTTGGGATTGCAAGGAGTAGGGGGAATACTTTCCTCATCTCACATTGTCTGAAAGATTTCAGCTTCTTTCTTGGTCCACAGAGGTATCAGCTCAAGAGACTGCTGCTGAGAAACAAAACCAGTCTCCTATTCTTAATAAGTGTTGTTTAGGCCACTCACCTGAGACAACAGATGTTCAGATCGCTACTCCAGGATGAAAATCTCAGTTTGCTGCCTATTTTGTGTTGATAATAATTGGACTTCCTAGAGCAAATAAGAATCATGTTTTCTCTTTGGGCTCAGTTGGAAATATCTTGTCCACAGAAGGGCTTTTTCATAGACATCTTTGGATTTCATGGCATCAAGTTAAAAAAAAAAAAGAAAAGAAAAAAAGTGTCCTGAGTGACTTTGGAGGGGTGTAGTTTCTCTAAGTTGTTTCTCTGTCCCTAGAATGAACAGCCAAAACCCTATATCTCAGTATCTGCTGACACTGGTACGTCTCTCAATCCAAACTGGGATCAAAATTATTATAATCAAGCTCTTTCTCCTATCCTTCCTTCCTTCCTCCAATGTTCCTTCCACATCACATCTTTTCTCTCCTTTTCCTTACTTCTGAACTTCATAACTTCATTTTATTTGAATTTAAGAGTGCTTTATTATTTTTTAAGAATATTTTTTAAAATCTGCTCGTTTTGTGTGCACTTAAGGGAATAATCCTTCTGCCTTTATTCTGACCTATTATTTGGTAGACTGATCTCTGGGTGACTGGAAACATTTATTAAGACAAAACAATTAACTGGAGGATTAATTTACTTCTGATTGGTTTCTCTCAAAGTCAGACCAGAAAAGTCTCCACTGAGCAGTAATATTAAACAGGGCCAAAATGAGAAGGGTGACTATATGCCAATGGGAGCAAAGAAAGACTTATGTTTAGAATGGATTAATGTAGTGATGTATGGCAAAAGAGATGATTTGCCACAGTATAAAAAATTTCTCCTAGATTGTTACCTTTTATGTTCAAAATTTCAGTTAAGGAACAGAATGTAGGAGTCACTGTCACTTCCTGAGTCGTGCCTTAGATCAGAAACATTTGCTGAAGACATCTGCTTTGTGGAAGTCATGTATACAGCATTTCTTAAGTCTGAGGTATGACTCATGGGAAAGCTATAGAAAATGGGTTGGTCTTTCTGAGTTCTGAATACCTGACTTCTCTACATTGCCAGATTGTTAAAAGTTTAAAGAAAACACAAATTGTCTCTCTGTTTTAGGGAAAGAAAGGAAAAAGCAAGAAACAGTTACTGGGAAAGGCTTAGGAGAAGTATGTAATTCTTCCAAGGGGATAGGTGCGCATTTTGAACATGTCATATTATTTTCTTTTGGTGTGTTCTTCTCCTAAGGGGACTTGTACAATGTAATTTGGTGAAAATCACTAAATGTTCCTCTATGTATTAAAGAACCGTTGTGGTTTGGTAAGCAAACTTTGTATCTGTGTTGATCCTTTTGCCTTAGCAGAGAGATGTTGAACAGATCCATTCCCCTCCATTGTTTTAGATTTCTGTTAAAAAAATATACCTTTGCTATCAGTTGCCCTCTCTATAAAAAAGACACTAATTTATCAATATCAAGTTTTTATAAGGAAAAAAGGCATCAATTTTTCTTAGTACCCTCTAACCATCTTACCCTTTTTTTTCAGCTCTTCTGATGGCACCTTCTCATATGTAAAATCATAAATCAGCAAGTTTCTGGTGTCATTTTGACAACTGTTAGATTGGTATTATGTTCCTTCCCTATTTTTTTCTGGCTTATGTAGAATCAGAGAATAATACCAGGCTTGCATTTCAAAGTGTGAAGCTATTTATAGGATGTGGAGATACTGTCTGTATGTTTCTTTTCAAGTCTATGTAAGAGAAATCGATTTTTCTTTTCTAACTAGTACATCCTAGGACTTTAGCACAGAATAAACAGTAGAAGAGTAAGAAACAGAGCAAAACTCTAAACTTGTATTTGTTTTCTGGACTTCAGGTAATGGAACATTGATTGGAGCTTCCGCAAACGTTGTTTGTGCAGGAATTGCTGAACAGCATGGTTATGGCTTCTCTTTCATGGAGTTTTTCAGGTACAATTTTAAACTTCTTATGTTAAATCTGTCATTTTATTTTTCTGTAGACAAACAATGGATTCTCCAAGGAGACAATCTGGAGAAAGGACCTATAAAATAGACTTGTGTTCCTAATTTGGTTTTGGCAACTGAAATGAGGGTGGAGGGAGATATTGTTAGGTACTGTGGATAGAATGCATAAAGGTGTGGAACCACAGGAGAAACAAAGCCTCAGAAATTCCTGCTTTGATCACCCTCAACTTACCCTAAGCGCTGTAGTGACACTAAATTCTTGATTTGTTATTTAATACAGTTCAAATGTTTCCCATCTGCACATTTTCATGATGTTCCACTGCCAGGAGAAAGTGGAATGTCCCAATTTAGACTGAGTAGAACTTCACTTCATGATCCCATGAGTAAACCTATTTATCCAAAAGCAATTACTTCTTTTGACTAAATGCTTAGCATCTAAGAGTGAAAGTGTGATGCACAGCTAGTAACAGCTCAAGTTGTTGTTTAATAATCGTTTAATTAATAATTAATAATTGTTGTTTAATAATGGAAGTTCCTTTGCAGGTTTTTAAGGGACCAGGTGAACTTAATGCATACAATAGTTTAATATTTTTCCAAACACTTCCAGTTTTTGAGACTGTGGTTGAAAGGTGTAAATGGAAACTGGCAGAGGACTAGACATGGAGTTAAAGTGTACTTGATTTAACTAAAACATAATTCCTTGTTTATTTTTCTGCGTATTTAGGGCAAAGGATACTGTTAAGTTCACTCTGTTATTTTTTTTCTCTTTTTTCTTTACATTTTAGATTTTAGTTTCTCACCTCTACCAGCTTTCTTTTGTATTGTTACTTCAAAGTAAAAATACATACCTGCGTAATTAATACGATTATTCATATGGGAGTATCTGGAATAGAGGCAATGATAAGCCTAAAAAGAAAGGTAGTCTGAACTGTTCTTGCTAAAACTCTTGCTATGAGCATGTCCTGCTCACAGCACAGTTTAGCTCTTCACCCATCATCTCCTGATGATAGGATTTAGAAAGACAGAATGACTATCAAATGAAAGTCTTGGTTGTCAGGACCTTTGAGGCTGCAGTACAATCTTACATAGTACACAGTGATAACTAACAGACTTCTTGGAGGTCAAACCCTTATACTAAAAATATGGTGATGCAACAATAATGAAACTGTGGATTGTTCATGTTTCAACTTCAGATTTTCAGCTTGTCATTTCGGGATTTAACTTGTATGTAGCATTAACAATATGTGTCCTATGTAGATTTGTTCTTAAAGCTTCCATGACACTAACGGAGTACCTAAGCAGAAACGAGGATATAAAGCCTTGCTAGTCTCTTCAGCAGTGTTCACTGGAATGTACTCTTTGAGAAGATTGAAGGCAATACACACATGTTATCCACTTGGTATGGTTCATGGTTCCTCTTCTCTTTTTTTAAGAGGGTAACGGTGGCAGCCCAGCTGATGTGTTGTACAATGCTGTTTGGCTGCCCAGCCAGAGCCAGAGGTAGACAGGTGTGATAACTTGCCTCAAATGCTGTGGTATGACCAGCCTGATGTGTTTCTATCTGGAGTGCCTTCAGCAGAAGAAATTCTGTGCCAGGGGGGTGCATGCCTGAATGGTGATGAATGCTGTAGTTTGCCAGAAGTCTAGCAACCCTGGGGAAAGTCCCTCTCCAGAGGCACAGCTAGTCACTTCCATACCTGGATCAAGAGTTGTACCTCCCCAAGGACGTGGGGGCATTCATCTCCTTCCAGACTGCTACACATGGCCGGATGTAAGGGGAAGACAGCCAGCCCTGGTTTCCCATTCTCACCTTCCAAGCAACTCAGGCCCATATGCTGGAAGTGTTGTGCCTGGAAAGGAGGCCCCAGTAGGATGGCATTTAGGTGGTAAAGATTATACTGAAAAGAGAGGGAGAAAGGCATAGATCCTCCCTCCCTGTGTTGAAGCACCTTCAATTGGCCGGGTTCAGAGTTCACTGCTGGTTGAGCAGATATCAAGTCCTGCCTGTGAATGAGGTAGCCAGTGTCACTGCGTCTCTTATCCAGAACACATCTGGGTCTTGTTCCCTTCTCCCACCTTAACTGTCAACGCAGTTCTGTCTGAAAGTGCTCACAAGACGAAGAGCAAAATTTCCTGTGACAAAAGATGCCTTGGTTGCTATGAATTCCTCTTGCTGTTCCTGGCCCTTAGGAGCTTTTCTTGATACTTCATTATGTTCCACTGAGATAAAAAGATTCTTATGTCCCTTAGAAAATAAAAATACTGTAATAAGCTTTATCACCATGAAAATATTTTTACTTTTGAATCTGTTATACATGGTGTTATGGCAACCAAAAGGGGCTTCTACTAGTGTACCAGCAGCAAAAAGAAGATTGGATGACATGTGAGCCTACCACTGAATGGGGAAATAACCTCCTTATAAAGGATGTGAAGAAGGCAGAAGGTTTCAGTGCTGTGATCAGCAAACAAAGTCCAGCTGGAGGCAAGCCACCAGTGGCGCTCCCCAGGGTGCTTGTGATCCCTGGCAGTGCCTTCTAAGCTCAGCCATTCTGAGATTTAGCTTTTAACCAGTCCCAGAAATCTAAAGGCGAATAATAACTGCTGCTGTATGACTCAAATTCGAAGGAAAGGAAACAATACTAAGACTAAAAGAAAACTGAAAGTCCTAGGAAGATCAAGCTCAGAAGTAGCAATTTGCCTTTGCTTTTTTTGAGTCAGTCCATACAAATTACACTTCTTTTCCACCTTGAAAACTTCCTCATCAAACTGTATCTATGTGTTTTAATCTTTCCTCCTGAAAAAAATCTTATATGCACCCTAACTTTTCATTATCCTTCTAATAATTCAGAAGACAGAGCTGAACACGATATGCCAGGCATAGTCCTTCTATTTTTTGTCCCATTTACAAAGAGAAGATTAAATACAAAAAGGACCCATTTGCCTTTTCATTGTTAATCTAGGCCATTTCAAATTCCTGTTTAATTTACTATTCACTGTTAAATCCAAGTTTCTTTCAGTTTTCACATTACTTACCTGAGTATATCTATTGTCATCACCCCCAAGTTCTTATACTTTTCCTACATTGTGTTTTTAATTAACAGATTATCAATCAGCAAAGATGAAAGGGAGTTGGTGTGCTATGTGATCTAGTAAGCGAATTGGAGGATGGACACAAATACAAATATTTAAGTGGTAAAACCAGAAATAATTGTGAGCCAGTGGGGTTTGAAAAAGGAGATAGAGAGCAGTGGGATATTTGCAGTACATGGTCAAGGGTAAACATTAGAGCAAGCGAATGAGCATTATGCCTCTGGAGAGAAGAACAACTTTTTGCTAATCTTGGCCTTGTAGAAAACATCAGATGTGTTAATAACATGGAGGTAATTGCTCAGGGACAGCATATATGAGCAAACAGAAGGCAGGGAAAGATAATAAGCATATTACAATTTTCAGTCTAGTTATCAGAGAAATATCAAATTATAAATACGAGCTTAACATAAAGGAAAACGCCAAATTTTCTTGGCAAATGGTCAAATCATGGCAGCATGGTCTTGTTGCATGAATGATTTCCAGAGGTTAATATGATGATTTTTATGTCAGTTAAGACCGTAGAACAATTGAGAGCTTTGTTCTTCTCTAGGAATAAGATAAAAGAAATAGCATTGCAGATGTCTCTTCCAATCTAGATGCTTCATTTCAAGTTGGTTTTTGTTTGTTTGTTTGTTGTAATTTTTGTAATTTTTACTAACATATCTTTGAGTTTGTTTGATGCAATATAGCAATCCACCAGGTCAGTCCACCCTATGGAATATCAAAATTATATTCCACAGGTATCCTTTTGTTACCAATGAAAAATCTGGTTCCAGCTTCATAGAAGAAATTCTCATTGTTGTAGGGGCTTTAATTATCTGTTTCCACTTGCTAATAAAATTGCCAGCTTGATTTTAATTTTCTCTTTAAGAGAGGCATTTATAACCTTACAAAGATATGTAGTATTTCAAACAGAAAATAAGTCATGTTCCTTCATCCTATTTGAATTCACTACCAATCACACCCGTGTGTCTGTGATGCATGACATGATTAAAAAAAAAAAAGAGAATCGAGAATCACAGATAAATGCTGAATTTACTTGACATAAAAAGAAAGTGGGTATTATGGGAAACACTCTATTTTTATTTCAAGCAAATTTTGACTGACTGTGAATATATTATGGTGCGGGACATATAGGTAAGAGAAGAATGAATTGGATAACTCTGTGTAATGAGATAAGAATACAGGAGAGATGATTTGAATCATGAGGAAGCAGTCTATCCACAGGAACAGGGTATGAGTCTAAGGACCTAATTTAGATTACAGTGGTAAGGTTAGCTGAGCATAATCCTGAAAGCATTGTACATAGTTTCAGGTTTGCATTTTTCTGTCATTGCTCCCCGTTTATATGTCATCTGAAGAGCTGAATTAATATTGACTATCTTCTCTGGGAATAACAATAATTTGGAAGTGTCAAAAATTGTTGATTTCTGATAATACCTTAGAAAAGAACTTGTTTTCATCATAGGATTTGTCTTGGGAGGTAGTCACAGCAAAAATATTTACAGTAGGATATCCCATTTATCCCTTCTTGAGAGCACTCACCCATAAAGACTGTGAAATAGTGCTTCCCGTGAGAACTGTCGTTCATGCATGTGGGAGGACAAATGTGATGTTCTTTGCTACTGCCTGGGTATCCTATTTGCACAACATACCGAAAATAACTGTTAAAAAAACCACATTGGGCTCTGTAAAGCCATAAAAATGTGTCTACTTGATTATGTGTTAGACAGTTGTAGTCCTTTTCCTTAATTTTTCCTACTTTCTTGCTATTAACACCACTCTATGAGAAACAGTGTTGCTGTTCTAAGGCTGATTCTGATCAGAATGAAACCAGCTGAAGTATTCTGGGTGTAAATATTGATGATGGAGACTTTGATTGAGCAACGCGGCATCTAAACACACAGAATCACAGAATCACGGAATGGTTTGGGTTGGAAGGGACCTTAAAGATCATCCAGTTCCAACCCACCCTGCCATGAGCAGGGATGCCCCACA